TTTCCTAAAGATGGACCGCCGAATGATTTTAACGGACTCGTGAACACAGATTTTTATACCGTTCGTCTTGGTATTTGACCCGGTGGAGCCCGGTTGCTACCGGATGTGTTGAAAATATTGAGTTACTGTATCCATAACAATCAGAGAATTCAATTCTAAATTTTATTTTTGATTTCTCTACTGTCTTCGACGACTAATGTAAAAGGAGTACCCTTAACCATCAGCAAAATAATCGTAAAACAATAAAATGGAGTAATTGAAGATTCAGGTAACGAGCTGCGCAGTCAGGCAGTGTCGTATAAAAGATTCTCACGAAGACCCCCTCGCCTCCCACGACCCGAAGGGAAACAGTTAGCTAGAGGAGACGAAATTTCAACCTTTCTATGCAAATACGTACCTGCACGGGCCGAAGCCGTGCTGGCACCGTTTTCTTTTTCCCTCGCCAATAAAACGTAGGTTCCCTATCGCGGGGTCCCTCGTGTGTCAGCCACGCGCACCTCCGTAGCGGTCAGGGCCCCATAATAGATGCACGAGGCACGGCTCGTTTTCTTTTCTTCCCACTTGCCTCTTTTCCTTCTCGCTTTCGCCACCGTTCCACGGACCCTTTTTTCCATCGTGTGCGGCACTATGGGCCCGAAATATCCACCGACGACGACGACCACGGCGACGACGACGGCCGCGTAAAGGGTGAAGCGAAACGCGAATCGCAGAAACGTGGGAACCGTCGCCAGGTGATCCTTTTGCGCGACCCAGAAGAGGCAGGCAAAGAGGACCCGACACGAACTTCTGCGAGCCGACCAAGCCAACCGAGGCTGAGCATTCTCGCCGGAAAAGGAAGGGGACGCGTAAGAATGGGGTGGCTACTTGGTGCACCTTGTTGGAAAGGGGTACGTAGACGCAACTGCGTAGCAAGAGGTGGACCTCGATAGGGTTGAATCGGCCTTCTTCTTCGCTTACCGGGTTGGGAACTGGATGTTTGCAGCTTTGCTTAAAATCGATGAGTTATTGTTCGTCTAATGGGGATTTTAACAGATGGCTGATTGATGGACGGAAGCTTTGCAACGAGACTCTTATTTTACCGTGTTTTCTTATACAGAATGTTTGAAACAATCGATCTACGTAAAAAGAAGTTTGAAATATCTCTCAGACTATTCTGTTTTCAACATTTTACCCTAATATGTACTAGCGAATGGCACGTGTATCTGTTCCAATGGCTTCAATGATGCCGAAGGTAGTAATATAGAGCATTACCTGGATGCATTCGCCATTGTAATCGTTTTCCTTACGTGTGTCCAGCACACGACCCGATTCCCAGCGGAATGGCACACTGACCCAATTTAACTGAATAGGGTACCTCCAATTTACGATCGGGATTTTTAGAAGCTTTGTTCGACGAATCTTCGAGTTATATACCTTTGAATAGATCAGACTACCTAAGGTATAAACTTTCTGTCACGTTCAGCGTTTGCTTTCAATTTCTCTGTGGCCCTAAACAGTACCCCGAAATTGCATTTTTATTGCATTCGTTCTTATACCCTGGAAAATACAAGCTGAGCAAAGAATCTAAAGCAGTACTTGTTATTTATAATATGTATGGAATTTTGAGCAAGAAGTGGTAGAGGAAGAGCTACTTTTTTTAATGAGGAAATTCATGGGAATTTTACCCCACTGGTAGAAACAAATACCCGGTTATAAATGGTACCGTCTGCTACGCGAATGGGACATTTTTTTTATCAAACTCCCACGAAAACGAGTTACATTTTCCTGTATTCCACAATCTAGGCGCCTCCCTGCTACGACAATCCAGATGTCGGCTAAAAACGACCCCACGCACGCATTTTTTACGACTGACTCTGGGGTGCCTCATAGAGGCGTCCCTAACACGCTTCCTTTGTAATAAAATGAATTTTTATACTAGTTTGTATTTTTCTTATAACTCTTCCAATTCTCAAAGCTTTCACGCCTTCGCATTAACCATATTAGAACGATATTTATCATCGGATAACCATAGGTTTCGAAAGCATTAACCGTGTGAGAGCAAATTAATTTGAGAAGAGTCGATTAGGAGGTTCCCTCGTGAAACTAGGAAGCCTGCATCGACCAGCGGAAGCGAAGATTTCAAGATTCAGGGTATACCGTTTCCTTCCTGCCTAAAGGATCCCATGGTGAGCTGCAGGTGGATCCCAAGATCGATTCCCGCGACAGAGGGTGGGCGTTCCAAATTTAGACTCGCTTTCTTGATCTTGCTCAAGAGGTTCGTGGTCAAGCGGTATTCGCTAGAGGCTCCCTCGGTTTTCTCAGGGTTAATGAGCAGGTCGCGACATCTGACCGAACGCCTTCCGTCGTGACAGCTAGTTGGAATATTTATGGGAATTTCTGGATCATGGGAATAACACGAAACCTTTGGATTACTTAATGCAGAACCTTTCGATCTTCTTTTTCTCCAGAAACGAAGAGGAATTTTTCCATTTGCGAGATCAGAATGATTTTTAAGAGCTTGTAATAAATCGTAACTACGCACAGGTATAGAGAACGTTAACGGTGAACGATGATCTTTGGTGCACCAAGAGGGGCGATAAGTTAAAAACAAAATTCAAGGCCGCGGCCTGTTTTATTGTGGAAGTCCAGTCTCTACCCTACGTAGGAACTTCCGAGTCCAGAGTTTTACAGATGCAGAAACGAGAAGGGGCCTCGAGGCTGTTGCTTCGGTCCCTCTTGTAACTCAGGGGGTCCTCCATGGCTACGCAATAATATACCAGTCCCAGGGACAAAGCTGCAGTTTAGCTAGCGCATTATGCATTTACTGATGCTAGGTACCCGAAATAAAACCATAAACTACCTACTTTTACGGGGACCTATCCTTTTTCAGGGATGTAACGGACTCAACAAATTAAATGGCGACTGAAATGTGCAGTATAAATATTTTTACACTATTTTTAACGAAATTCGAATAAAAATCAAATGTAAGTAACATCTACCAGAGAAATAAATTGAAAAATTCCACGTGTCCCGACCGGAAACAACACACTCGACTTTCATCGAGCCTAATCCCATTACAATAAAAAAGCTGGATAACGATCGAATCAAACAAAGCTTGCCCTATGAAATTTGCAAACCTCAGAAGTTCAATGTTTTCCCCTTTGAACCGTTTTATCGAATGAATCTGAAGAGGTATCCGAGAGCGAGTCGATCGTAATACGAGCGAGAAACAAGGGGTGAGTTACCCTTGCTCAAAGAAACGTCTGCCCTTATTCGTTCGATCGTCTGGTCGAGGTTGGATCTTGATTTTTCGATCCGAAACTACACGTAAGAGCACACGGATTGTCGGTATACGTGCATCTGCCTTGCATGCACGAACATAATGCAAGCAAAGAGCAATGTTAACGCGGAAGTTTTCAGGCACAGCTGTTTCCAGAGACGATTTATCGCGCAACTATCGCTAGTCACATTGTGACGCAATGACGCGATGTGAAATTATTTCAGCTGTGAGCTAGATTACGATAAACTACTTAAAAAGTCATTAAGAATCTTCTTGAAGTCTCGGACGTAATTTGGTACAGAAGGGGTTGATTTGTTTATTCTAATTTCAAATCGTCTCTATTTCAAACACGATCAACCAGGAATCGTCGTTAACGAATGGGACAATTAATTTCCATTAATATAACGAAGATTGTTATCGTATTTGCCCGGAAATCATGGAGGACTGGCTGGCTAGAGACGGTGAAATAAATCAACGGGTCAATAGGGACGTTTACGTAGTATAAAGTCGGAAACACTGGCAACGGGCCTGCCACGTTACAGGCCTCTAAAAGTAAAAGTTGTCCGGTGCAATAATCGCGGGTCGTAAAGGTTTATCTGTTTATTGCGGCCGTCATTGCCTCTTCAAATGGGCTGTAACTGATTTTGTCAGCAAAACAAATGTCTAGCATTTATTGTCTCGCGTATATTTGCCGTTTCGTGAACGCGTTACGATCACCGTAAAATGTCTTTATTTTTTATAGTTTTATACGTTTATTGACGAGGTGTTACTTCTTAGAAGCGTGCCGCTCGTCTAATTCGCTTCTGACATTGTAGCCTTTGGATTGAAAAATTTCTAAGATCCTAAATTAAAATTTGAATTTTGTAGAAAAATTCTAATGAAAATTTCCAAGAGGATAAATCATAGTTTTAACGATCGTGCGCGATTCGGTTTCGCGTTTTCCCATGGGGTTGCCTGCTTTCGGCGCGTTTCTTCTCATCGGCGTTGCGTAAAAGAAAGAGTTCATTGATGAAACGACCGAGCAGAACATTGCGGTGCCGAGTAAACACTATTTAACGTTTCAGAAGAATTCCCACACAAGCCCTCACGTCCCTCTCGTATGCATCGCTGGCATCGTATCGCGTTGCGCGCGCCAGCCACACTTATGACGTACGTACACACGTCCGGCACACGGTGTGTTTGCCCTTCTCTGTCCAACGATTCCTCCATCTATCGTATGCGTTAGGTGTGTTGGGGTCGTGCGTGGCTCCCTGCGATCGTGTAATCAGCCTGCTTCTCGCAAACCCTCTTTAGAATATTCAATCTATCGTCTTTTGCTTGGAATATCAGAACAGATTTTTTGTTCAAATTACCTTATATGAAATATGAAGAAAATTAAAATGAAATTCTTAGATTTTATCAATTAATGCTGATTTTTTTTTTGAAATTATTTAACCTTCGATGCTATATGAAATTTTATAATGCTCCAACGTGGAGAAAGAAAATGGAAAGAAAAACATCGTGCGAAGCGACGAAAGGAGTGGCAGAGGAGAGACTCAAATTTCGGAGCAGACTATATCGCTATGTCCTGGGGGACGGCGTGAATTCCCACACATCAACAGGTCTCAGGAGGACCGGGCACCTCCCCTCTCCAAAGGTATCCGGCAACCCCACTCCAGGACACGCTTCACCCCACTCCAGAGTTGGTGAGTGCATCGGCATGCGGTCTTCGAAATCGAAAACGTCAAACAGTAACCCTCCACACCCCAAGCGGGACGTCGCCGGTAGCGGCGATCATCCCCTTTACGGATGCCAGCGAAATTTCCCTCTTCGATTTCATCGGTGTACGTGAAAAAATCGCGAGGAACCGTGTGAATTTATGGAACATCAGTTCACGTGCTCGTGATACTTTCAGAAACATTGAAAGTGTTTATTGTGCTTGGGAATTTTAATAACGGTGTTGTATCAGTGCATAAATGGTGGATTATTATAATTACAAGATGTCAGGCAGCGAGGAGGAACCTGAGTCGCATTCGCAGCCAGGGATGACCAAGGCGGAATTGCGGAGGGTAAAATTCATTTGAAATTTTTTGAAAAATTTTCAAAATTAAAAAATCTGAGAAAATGTATTTGCCTATGTTATTGGGAATTTTCTGATACTTCTATCGTTTAGTGATAGTCATTTTTGAGAAGAATGCAGGGTGGTAAAGTAAGCACGTGGTGATTTGACAAAATTGGATAAATTAAATTTATACGAGCACGTGTTACTGTGCCTACTAATTATCATTAGATTTCTATTTTTAGATCTATACAGGGCGTTTCAGTAAGGATGGTACAAAAAATAAGCCAAAAATGCAAAATAAAATATTTTTGAAAATCTATCCAACATGTAGTTTCTGACTATAAATTTTCCAAAATTTAATTCTACATTTTTGATATACTTTTTCATTAGGAATTATCTATTGGTTGCACATTATTGCTGGGACCTCCTGTATAATGAATTGATACTTTTCCAATAAAGAAATTTTAAAATACTTATCAAGTAACATGTTAATTACTCAACCAGAAGTACTCATACCAAATACTGGAAATCATAGATAACAGAAATCACGAAATTCTCGCATAATCATCGAAAGCTTCTTGAAATTCAATGAAACCCTCAATTGCAGAGCAACAAGCCGATCATGGAGAAACGGAGGCGTGCTCGGATAAATCAGTGTCTGGACGAGCTGAAGAGCCTGATACTCGAGGCGATGAAAAAAGACGTGAGTACAGAAACCCTCGTCCCCGTTTGTCCAACCTGTTATCAGGACACGCGATAACGTTCGATCTTCGACGATCGATTAGCCAGTTAGATTGTGACGGACGGATTGCCAACGGGATTTTAATCTCTCAATCGCGTGACACGGTGTAACGAGGAATTCTTAACGAGGAACGTCGCATCAGCAAAGCTCCGAGAGGACGATAAGCAGAAGCGTGCGCCTATACGCGTGATTTCAGGCCGGTACTCGTGGAATCCACGTTGTCGCCGGCGCCCGAAACGTGCCACGGTAAAACGTGACCTGTGCACGATTTATCTAGCGACGTGATCCGAGTTTACGAGAGATAACGCGAAAATATGCGCAAGCTCTCTCATCAAGAGCCTCGAAGAACGAACGGCGAATGTTTTTCCTTGCTGCAATCAAAGATTTCTCGTTCACCAAATTTTTAATTTGAAATATTATAATGATATATATATATTCTTCGGTCAATTTCTTTCATTCTTCTCAACCACGAAGTGGCAATTGAACGAAATTATAATTCGTCAGATGATCCACACGGAGCAACCATGACAGATCGTTTCGGTGCCGAGTGTATAAAGGTCAAGAGTCGATCTTTTAATTAAAGTGATAGGAGTAGCCTCGCTTAGCGGATGTTGGATAGAAGCGTTTGATCAGACCGTCTCCTTTTTCTCATCGCCGCCTTCCTCTTTTGCGACACGATTTGTTTTTCGACCGTAAAATCAGGACCTAGTAGCACGAGGTGGACGGGTTTTGTTTTAGCGTTTTAGATGCCTTGCCGTGGGAACGGATGGTGGTAGCCCTCTGCCAACACGTAATCTCCGCTGTAGACTCTACAATGGCACTTCAGTTCGTCCAACCGAGTGCCAAGCCAGTGTTGGGCACATTCCACTTGATCCCTCTTTCAAATGAATCGCATTTCGTTGCACGACCTTTTGCTACGGCTAACAATTAAGTTAGGAAATTTTTACACTGGACCAAAGATTCAAACACAATCCAGACTGGAGCTATTTAGTGTAATATATTATGCAACGAATGGATAATATTCGATCAAATCATTAAATTACAAAATTAGAGGACGGACCTCTGTCTACGACACACAGTCTACACCAGCACGTTCTAAAAATAGAATATTTCACACTGTTTGTCACTTCCAGTGTATCCCGAATATGATGACTAATACATAGTTCTGAAATAATAGATGACAGCACTTTTATACAGGGTGTCCCAGTATTGATGACACAACCTTGTACACGTTCTTGGAATCACGAAGAAAGAACCGATTCAAATTCCAAGCTAAAATTGAATCTATCAAATTTTCCTACGTTCCAAAAGTAGAATCCCAAATTGGATTTCAATGTATTCTACAGGATTATTCAAAAAGGAAGTTTCACCTGCGTTCGCGAGATTTTCCCCGAGTAATCGAGGACAGAGTACTCGATCGCGTAATACGATCCAACGAGATTGATTTCTCAGGCAAGAGTGGTGTAGTAAGAGAAGCGGAGGCGCTCTCACCGTTCTCTCCTCGTCCAGATGACTTCCGCTACCTGCTCGCTCCAGTGTCCGTCCCGTTCGCCCGTACGAAACGCCCCCCGCGTTCGTGGGAACCTCGAAATAATAATTACGAAGAAAAAAAAAAAAAAGAATCTCATCTCGGGTTGCAGTCTCCCTTTGTTGACCGTATCATCTTTAAGGATCCAGCTTCGCGAGGACGGCGCCCAAAAAAGGAAGAGGACCTCCTTGCCTTCTTCAGTTGCTCCTTCAGCAGGTGTCCCGTTCCTCCGCGGGTGTCGAATTCGCCCGCGGGAAAATCGATTTTCGGACCCGTGTTTACCCATCGATACGGATACTTTTCCGAATAACAATCATAATTTTCGGTTTCTTGTTTCGAACAACAATCGTTATGGTTTCTTCCTGTTTACGCGGTCGAACCACCCTCCACTCGAAATCTTATTCAAAGAGTTTCAATGGGCTGTGTAAGCGATCTCTTCTTCGACTCCCACGCTTATTTCGAAGGTGACCGCTGATTTACCATAAAAATGTGAGCACTAGCCTGATCCAGGGAGGAGAAGCGTAGCGTAGAAATGGCACAATAGGATTTCGAGGCTCTAGAACTGCATTGGTATTGAGCGATTGATCCCTAAAAGGCTAGTGGGAAGTGTAAGGAATATTGAAAGGGCTGATCTTGTAGCGGGCTATGGAAAAAGCGCCGGGAAAGTTGGGAGATCTATCGTGTTCCCACGAAGAAGAGATTGGTTCTTTTTTTTTTGGATACTTTTCTTTCAAGATCGGACGCACGTCCCACGGTTCATTTACAAACGCGATTCTGGTTAGGATAATTATTATTCCAAAGGTTCTTCTTGTTGTTACCAGGGAAATAATTTGCATGCAACTGACGGGTGGTTCATAGAAATTACTGATGTAAATTAGAAAAAAAAAATTCATGTAGAACGCAATACGTTGCTTTAGGCTGACTATAAAATTGCTCGCACTAGCTACCGAAGTCACTGCTCTGTTATTAAGGTAACAGAACGTATCAAGCCAATTACGTGGGCGTTACCGAGGCATCATAGCCTTCTTAAACCCGCGAACAGTATTCATACCTCATCCCGCAGTGTATCCTCAGGGTACGATTTGATTACTGGGCTTTGAACAAGGTGAAAACGACCTTACCATTCCTAAAAAAGCATTTCTGTTTTACCACTGATGGATGAAGTAGAGAACCTCTTACTGAGCGAGGGTATTACTGCTTCCTACACTATCGACCGAGATCTAGGGAATTAATGTACCCTAGGATATACCATCGGAACATACGAAAATGAATGATGAAAATTTTAAGAAAAATTAAGAAAAATTTGATGAAATTAAGAATGAAAAATAATTTTGCAATTATCAATGGGTCCTTTTTTCTGTTACAGCCAACTAGGCATTCGAAACTCGAGAAGGCCGATATCCTCGAGATGACGGTGAAGCATTTACAAGCGGTACAGCGTCAGCAATTGAGCACGGCGGTCGCTACCGACCCGGCGGTGCTAACTAAATTCCGTTCCGGATTTTCTGAATGTGCTACCGAAGTATCGCGGTACGTCAGCCACCTCGAGAACGTCGACCCTGTTGTAAAGCAACGACTGGTATCACATTTGAACAATTGCGTTAGCAATCTCCAGCAAATGGCGCCATTCTACAGCCACTACGTGCCCTACATGCCGGAACGCCTCTATCCGGAGGTGAAGGTCGGTTTCCAGAGCGATTTCCAGAATGGCGACGAGAATAATAATGGAAGTGCCAGGATACAGATACCGAACGGGGTTCAACTGATACCCAGCAGACTTCCTACAGGAGAGTTGGCCCTTTTGGTACCCCAGTCGGCCAACATCTCGGCAAACTTTCCTTTCTTCCCCCCGGCTCCAGAATCTACCTCGAAAATTGGACAATCCTCAGCTTTCACCTCTGTCCATAGATCACAGAGTCCACTATTGAGTCCATCAACCTCCACGTCCAGTTATGGCGAAGAGAATCATCAGTCTGAACACTATGCACAGGCTGCATCGCCTAATCAACAACGTCGCTTCAAGATTCCTGATCAGAGTTCGGTCTCCTCGAAGAGCTTCTCTTCGTCACCGGAGACCCAGAAGCCACAAATCAGCTCTACTAGTGACAGAAAATCCCCAGTAACCATTTTCATGGAACCTAAGTCTGAAACGAACTATGCGTCCAAGAAAGAAGCCGATTCCTCTGAAACGCTGAACAGCAATGGAATGGCGGTATCCAACTTGAGACAACCATTATCAGTAATTACTGATAAAACCTATAATCGTTCCAGTTCGATGACAACCAAGAAAGAGTCTCTGAAGAGGCATCATTCGGATGGACTCTTAGTAATCTCTGATAAGAGACCTAGGTATCAAGATACAAATAGTTCATCGATTAATCTAACTTCTTCTAATGGCATTTCGAAATCTGGAGAAGATCAAGCGATCTCCGTGGAGGATTTGTCGGGAAGAGCGACTTGTTCGACTAATAGAAATTCTAATTCTAATCCTATGAAATTTGCCGCAGTGGCTGGTCCTTCGGGCGCTAACGGCGATATGTGGAGGCCATGGTGATTCGTAAGAACCATGTTCCCTCTTGATTGCTTTATTTAAAAATTAGTTAAGATTATTTAACAGAAATTAGTATGATGAAAATACTAATAAACGAAACCATTCATTAAAATAGTGCCTTATAAATCGTTCACTATTCTTAAATGATTGTAACTTGTTTTATCTTAAGTATGATGCATGTGTTACGATAAGCATTGTTATATTTATTATTAATATAAGATTTTTTGTAAGTAATGATAGAATCCAGGTTTAATGTCGACGACGAACTTGAGAACAGTAACAGCCAACTCAGTATCCTCGCATCTGAAGACTTCCAAGCTTTAACATAGTACAATAAGCTACCCCTTGTGAATAATCTTGTAAATAATCGTCGATTTTATTTAATGTAATTTGTACGATTAAAATAGGAATTTGAACGCGTGATTTTATTATTAAGTTATAAGTTGATATTGCCAGTTTACGTTCAAGGAGTCGAAATAAATGTGAAACGGACATTGTGATCAGCCTTCGTTGTACCTGTTTTTATCTTTTCTTCTTTTTTTTTTTTCTTTGTCGAAACTAATAAAGCCTGTCGTAAGGAAACGAATCTCGTATAAAGTTCGTTGAAAGAGGAGGAAATAAAAAGGAAAATGATCTCTTGGTTGTGGTCTCTGTCGATATGTCCCGTGGTCGCGTGAAAGGCCGGGCAATTTCCCTTGCTGAAAAAAGCCGTCGGGGCCGCTTTATCCTTTTAAGAAGCGTTAAACGCGCCCCGATTCATAAACTGGAACTTATTCTTTCCTTTTTTGCCGATAAAGGAGCAAAAAGGCGCGGCGAATGAGAATTTCAACCACCTGTTACACCGCAAAACCACCCCCTTTCTCATCGACTGAATGCTTAAACTGATTTATCGACAGACACCGTGAAATTTGTTGAATGCCCTTAGCGTTGTTCGACGAACGCTCGATTCGCCTTCTAGTCGTTGAAATTCTTAATTCCGACGTTGATTTACGATCCTAAAAAGAAACACCCTAATTTTCTTCGATACCTGACTCTTAGAGGACGCGAGATTATGTATACACGCGGTTTAAACATTTATTAGCCCCGCTACGTCATGATCTAAGAGGAACATTGGTTTTACGTTAATCAGATTGGAAAGGGCGGAGGTATTTCCTGAAAAAATTGACACATTTTTTGTAGGTCTGAAAGTTCCCTTGGGGGTGGTAAGATGGCAGCACGATAGTATCTCGAACAATAGGATTGAATTTTTTATAAGTTTCTTAAAAAATTGTTGAACTTAACTAGAATACCTATCACGATTAATTATTTTACATTTATTAATGAGTTCTTGTGAAAATAGCTTTGTAAGAAAATCAAACTCCTAACATTAAAAAATGATGGGGTATTATATACCCCAATTAATCTTTTTTTTCAATTTAAATTACTTTTCATTTTCATTTTAAAATTTGAAACGCTGGTCACCGATGACCATCATGATCAGCCAATATATTAAACAATGTCGATACTTTAATTTACCAAAATCGTGTTATGCATATTCTTTTATTCTACTATAAAATTGAAATGCATTTTCAATGAATGATTTCGTTGAAAACGAAGGAAGAACGAATTTTAATTCCACCACGACGGATAGTTTTTCCCCGCGTCGCGGAATTCCGTCTTGTGTCTCGCGCGAGGCATCGAAGTCGCCGATTCGTCGGCGCGCGGCTGAGATTAATATCAGGAAGACCTTTTCGATATTCACGCTTACAATTATAACAGCCGAGATACAGATACTGGCTCGTGGTCGGAATAACCATGGGCGCAGCCATCTATACGCTATATCACGTGTATAAATAATTACTCCGGCGCGCAGCAATTACTATAAGTTATAGCCTAGCCGGCACAATTTGCAATGTCAAGACATAAACACTGCTACCGCTTACATTTGAATACATTAAAGTGGCACGGGATGGCCTGATTGGTCGAACGGGAGTGGCTCAAGCCCTGTATCGTTACGTGAGCTACGATCTGGTTGACGATTTTTATTACGGAAACGATCATCCCGTTGGCTCCGGGCGTTCGTTGCCTTTTCTGCCGCACTTGCACTCCCCTTTTACTATTGCCTTTCCCTGATTGATGCCCATTCCCATTCCATTCCCGATCTCCTCGCTAAACTGGATTTGCGATTCCCGATCGATCTTGAAGTATTTACGACGCTCGTAATCCCGATAATTTCATTGGTCAATTGTTTTATGACAATTCGAGAAGATCGACGTTCAGTCTCTATGCTACTTGTAGAAGATCGAAAGGGTTTAATAGACCGTAGTTCACGAGAGTTTCTCCAATTAGAGACGTGGGATGATTTTTGTGAAAAGAGAGTAACTGATGTGACATTGAGCTTTGTTCTCAAGAGAAACTTGATAGGTACTTGTCTTAGAAGATAAATAATTAAATAGAGCACGTATAGCAATTATTACAAAATTTATCGACTGAATTCGTAAAATGGATTCGGTCGTGCAAATTGAAACAACGTTTGATTTATTGATCACCTCCGACCACAGCAATCACTGAACTAAAAACGTCCCTTTTATTTTCTCTCGGAAAAGAAGCAAATAAAATCTCACCGCTATTCTATCCTCAAGAAACGAGCTCACCGCACACTGTAATCCGTAATTCAATCTCGCCGTGCAACACCAAAAAATATCTGAATTTCGAAACAGGCAACGCGTCCATCGAACGACACCCATAACCTATCCAGCTAGTAGCGATCGATTTTGAAGTGGATCGGCAAATCACCGGTGAAAATCATCGGTGCAACTTGTTTCCGTTACACAGTGGTCAACCGAGGGCGAGTGTCTCGGAGCGGCGGATATAGCAATCGCGGAGTGTTTTTCGCGTTGTTATATCTCGGCTTGGTCCGATCGCGGGTACGGCATAGAACCATGCACCCTGTAGAATCAGCAAAAGAGGAGAGGAGCGGTTTCGTCCGCGCGTATAGTGCGGCTGCCAGGCCATTTGCCTCTGCGGTCTCTTGATTCCTAGCGACTAAATTTTCATCTGTACTCATTCAAGTTTTAATGTGTTTTTGCGGCATCAGTCATTCAAACTTAATCAACAACCAGTTACGCGCTGGTTCAAACGCGCGCGCGCGGGCGCCCTCGCCTCTGTTCATTCCTCGTTCCAGCAACCATACAAACAGACAGAAAGACACACACACATTGGTTCGTCGGTTCTCATGTTTGTGTCAGTATGGAAGAGTGTGTGGGCGCGACGGAATATTGGTCGGCCGCTCTGTGACGAGAGCGTATTAATTATAACTCTGGTCAGAGGAACGTCAAGAGATGCTTTTGCAGATACCTACGATAAATTGTCGGTTTACCAGCAAATCTCATTTCCAAACCCCGCCATTTTTCCGCTCGTTTGTCCACGCCCATCGGCCAGAGAACAACGCTATGCCCGCGCTAGCGATCGCGGTATTCCCTTTCCTTTACCGGCTTACGTATGTACGTACACACGTGTGTACACACGTCCGACACCGGTCGTACGCGACTGTCGCGTGCACAAGAGTGCAATGACAGCGAAAGGGAGAACGCTTTTATCCAATAAACTTGATACGGGTAATAGGAATGTCGGCATTGACTGTCTTGTCGCGCGTTAACAACGCGACTCTTCTCTTATCAACCGGATCGGACCGTACCGTGCGTGGATGAACCGAGGGAATTTTTAAGGGGATCGGAATTTGAATTTTATCGTTTTTGGGAATAGCGAAAGAATGCTATCAAATTATGATTTTTAAGGTATAACTCATATAAAATACTTAGCAACCTAATACACAAAGCTTCGTTTCTTTCTAAACAACCTGAGATCATCTGAACAGAGAAGAATTTTAATTACAAAATTCCATCAGAAAAATCACATTTCGCTTAAACAGTTTCAATTACTGGAATGCACGTCTCGTAGGAAGCGCCGTCAAGAGTCAGGCGAGGGAAGTTAAAAGGGGGCTCGCAAAGCGTGTGACGAGGCAAAAGAGAAACGGAAATAAAATCCGAACCAATTGTCCAATCTCCAAACACATTCCCCGGTTGGCTCCTGGTTACGAAGTTTTACCGTGTACACGCGTGCCGAATTAGCCGAGTGTAGCGGAGAGAGAAGTGTCGGGGCAAGTAGTAGGAGAGACATTTATTTGCCTGTCGCTGGGACCAGTTGGAAACTTCTGCATCCCGTGCCGCTACCGAAGGGAGAGAAACAAGATCGACGTTATCCCCGCAGGTGGAAAGGGAAACGTTAAAAAGACGAGGAAGAAAGCACGCGACCCTCGAACGTATAGAGGGGTAGGAGAGAAAGAAAGGAAGATAAAAGGACTCGTTCACGATGTAGTAGAAAACTCGAAAGAGAAACGAGGACGGTTGGTGAAGGTGTTGAAGCGTGACCAAGGGAAAAAGAAGGGGATGGGGGAGGGGAAAAGGAAAACAGAACGGGAGAGTGTAAGCGTTGGGATTTGTGTAAAGGTGTCCGTGTGTAATCCGTGATCGTGTGAGGGCAAACCGAGTAAGGGGTCTCTGGGTAGAGACTAGAAGGGAGGTCCGAAGAGCAGGGAGGAGCAAGCATGTTTTATTAAGTGCGTCGCGCGTGGAAAAAGCGCGAGGCAATTTTCAGGTGCTAAAGGGAACGCTGATAACACGAGACCACATTTGAAACAGTCCGTTACACTTTTCGACTCGTTATTTTCTGCCATCTCGCGTTCACCCATGGACTTCTACTTAACGCCCTCCGGATAACGACCTCGTGCCCTTCGAGGGTGAAATTTGATTTTTCCTGTTTTCACTCGTACGCCCTTCCACCTGGCTAATTCCCGGCTGACACAGTGATACTGAAATTACCTGTACCGAGACTTTCCCACGTACACTTCTCGCTCGAATACGATCATCAAAATTACGCTCATTTTACTAATTATTTAAACAGCAACTTTAGAGTTCCTTTTTATTTCTATATAATAGTAATTTCCTCTAACTAGATTTTTGTTCAAATTAAATATAATAATATTTAATCGTAAACTTTGGAAAGAAGGGTAGAAAAAATACCAGCGCGATGGTGTTCATGCGCCATCGGTTCATCCAGATTTCACCCCCTTCTCTCTCTGATCAGCGTATCAAACATTTTCCCCGGTCCTTAGCGGTATTAACGTTGTCCGAAAGACAAAAAAGGATTGCATACATCGTTAACGCGTACCTATACGTACCGAGGAAGCAAGCCATCTATTATTTCACCCGTCAATGAGATGTGTCAGCGGTGACGGGTATACGTCATCCGCGGTGTTCGTCCGGCAGCGGACGAGTCGGTGCAGGGGTTCGCAGAGATAACCAGACAGGAGGAACAGAGATAGATGAACGAGGAGACGGTTCGATGGAGAAAGAGGCAGATCACCAGGCCGAGAAAGGGAGAACAAAAAAAAGAGAAGAAAAAAGAAAAAAATAGCCGGGGAAAGTGGAGAGGCGTCGACAAAGTGAGAATTAATATTCAATCG